TGGTTCACTGGTCGAGTCTCGTCCCGTGCTTGGAGAGGTAGGGGAAGAAAGGAAACCAACGACCCGATTTGCTATGTACTCCTTCTACTTTTTGCTTTCTCGCTAATTTACCCCTATATTTATTTAATTAGTATTTTTATTTTAGTTAGTAACACGAAGAAGATAGTGGCAAATTGATACAATCGTGGGAAATAGAGAGGTTGAATTGTATAATTAAGGAAAGTTTCTCATCCACCACGACCAAAACGCTGCGTTTTGCCGCGGATATTTTTCCCCAACCTGGATTTTGTCACTCCACCAGCATTTCGTAAGCTCTCTCTTCGAACATCCATGGCTGCTCACAGAATCTAAGAGAGAAACAACTCTACCAATTACTGAAGAAAATCGATCAGATATGATTTTAGCGCAGCTTCCAAGATTTCATCTCTCAATCTTCGTGAAACCCTCATTCTCTCTCTCTTCTTCGCATTTCAATTTCATAAACCCTAAGCCGCCGATTACAGTAGCAAGAACCCTTTTCTCATTCGCGGCTAAATCCAATCTCGCCACTGTTGAACCCATTCCACTGCCGGTCTCGGATTCATCCGATTTTGATGATGCTCCTGTGGAGATTCCGCTCGACAAGCTTTTCGTTCCGCCGGAGACTGATATCTCCAGTGATGACCCGGCGAGTTTAACGACGAGGATACTGAAGGGTTCGAACATAGTGCTCAGCAAGTACGCGAGGGACGCTCAGATTTTTCAGGCCGACTTCGTGAAGAGTAGTGTCCGGACGGAGGATTGTCCGGCCGATGGGCTGCCGGAGTTTGCGCTCGTCGGGAGATCTAATGTTGGGAAATCCTCGCTTCTCAATTCGTTGGTGAGGAGGAAACGCCTTGCCTTGACCTCTAAGAAACCTGGTAATCTAAGTGTTGCTCTGGCTGTGATTATCATCCAGCTGGTTTGTGATTACGTGGAATCGGTCCCTAGTCTTAGACTCTTTATCAATATTTCAATAGGACAAAACCAATAGACTACCCTCACATGGTTAGACTGAACAGATTTGCTTTGTAGCATCGGCATTTGTTGGTTCCTATACTTCCTGTTACTTGTGAGGATGGGATTAGTGTTTACCAAGATGTGGCATCACTTGACGGAATCTTTGAGTCGTGTGTTATGCTTGATCTTGCTATAACAATTTCATGCCAATGGGAGTTGGGGGTTTATAGGAATGAACTATTAACTATTTTTTTAGTGTGGAGTTGTTTCTTCTTACTATCTGTTAGATTTGATAATGCAATCCTACTACTGGATTGTCTATGTGCATTGATTAATAGAAAAAATGAACATTTGAAGATGTTAACTGAAAAATCTGGAATGAAACAAAACCATACCTAGCTGTTAGGAAATCGGATATTCCATGATCTGGATAATTTCTAGAACATCTCATTGACAGATACTCCTTCCAAGATGAAATGCTTAGAAAGGTTGATTGATGCAATTTAGTAGTGGAAACTGATAGGCATCCATCTCATGCATTGAGTTGTTGCTAAAATATGTGTAGTTTTCCACAAGCATTGAGTTGGCATTATAGTGTTTAGCATTTCAGGCTTGTAATACTTCAAGTAGAAACCATTCTGAGTCAGTATTGTTGTACATTCTCATCCCTTTAGAAGAGATTCTTGCAAGAATTAATTTTCTTTTGCTCCCGAGTATTTTAAAATGGAGCTTTCTTTTGGTTCTTTAATTCTATAGTGAACGGGCTTTGGTTAATTATAATTCTTGGTAATTTATGCTTCATGTAGGAAAGACGCAATGCATTAATCATTTTCGGATCAACGACAACTGGTACTTGGTAGATTTGCCTGGTTACGGGTAAGTTTAAGTTATATCGTTTTGTTTCTATTTGTTTGTTAGGCCATTGCCACTGCCCCTCTCTCCTATTCCTTTTTGTGTCAGTTACGATTACTGTTTCTGTCCCGATACATTATGCAGACTTTAGCTATAGAAAACGAAAGTTGATGCATTTTATATTTCCAGATATGCATCAGCACCGCATGAACTCAAACAAGACTGGAACAAATTCACCAAAGACTATTTCCTAAACCGATCAACATTGGTCTCAGTGTTTTTGCTAGTTGACGCCAGCATTCCTCCAAAGCAAATTGATCTTGACTACGCAAGCTGGCTTGGTCAAAATCAGGTATAAAAACACGTAAAACTCACCGAAATCCATTAATTGTTCATCATGATCAACACTATTACTAATTATGTATTGTTTCTGTGGAATGAATGGTTGTTATCTCAGGTTCCAATGACTATGATATTCACGAAATGCGACAAGAGGAAGAAGAAGAAAAACGGAGGTAAGAAACCAGAGGAGAACATAAAGGAGTTCCAAGACTTGATCCAAGGATTCTTTGAGACAACACCACCATGGATTATGACCAGTAGTGTGACGAATCAAGGTCGGGATGAGATATTGTTGCATATGGCTCAGCTAAGAAACTACTGGCTCAAACATTAAGACCCAACCACACTTGTTCACATTATCTTTTATAGGAAGGAGACTTATATAACAAACAAAAAGACAATTAGTGTACCAATTCTTGGGCACTATTTTTGATTAATGGAACGCTGTGATTTTGCTTTTGTGTTGTGTAACACTATTCGTTGTGCTCTGTTGAATTTTTATCTTACCCCTTAACGGTGGTGATATAAAAAGTCAAAAAAGA